TATCCGGAGCACGATGTGGTGTTGCTGCCAGGAGGGAGGACCTCAGCAGCCTGAAAGGAGGAAGTCTGCAAGGCGCTGAGCTGTCCCAGCTATTTTTTTCTGCTGATTTGCACCGGTTTAGGCAGCTGCCCTAGACCTGCCCATCTTGGCATGGCACGGCACAGCCCGCAGGAGCCCAGCACGGGTCCCACCGCCCAGCCACAGAGTCACAGAGCCTCCCACCCGAAACCCAGCCCCTCGGCCCTGTGACTGCTGCACCCTGCGTGGCGAACTGACAGGAAGCCCATTTCCCTGCTGCTTACCAAAAAAAATGAGGCTTCAGGGCTACCAAACAGGAACATTTTTCTAAGATACAGTGGCGCTGCCAGTGCCAGGACAGATTAAACCATGAAATTGCAAGGAGCAAATGTGGGGATGCAGCTGGGGCAGCCGGGGTTGGGTTTCCCGAGGTGAGTGCAAGCAGGAGCAGAGGCACAGGAGCGGGGTCCCCGGCTGGCAGGGCTCCAGGGCGGAGCGGGGGCACACGAGGGAAGGGTCTGCAGGAGGGACAGACCCGCTGCCGGGGCTGCATCCCCGCCTGACCCGTGCTGCTGGGCGCTGCGTTCCCAGGCAGCTTCCTGGAAAATAAGGGACCGATACCGTTTATCGACTATGGTCCTGCAAGCAGACCTACAGACTGAAAGGAGCTGTTGGTGAATTGTGATGTCAGTTCAGCCGCTCCGTTAGGCCCAGCAATTACTTCCAGCCATTTGGAAGAAAACCCAACGAGACAGTTTTCGTGTTGGTCTAACTTTGTGATAAAACGGATTCTTTTCAAACAGCCCGGCGCTGCTTTTGTTGTGGCTTACGTGGCAGCTCTTCGGCTGCCAGAGGGAAGGGAGGCAGCGTTATCTCCTGTGCTAGGCACACCATGCCTTGTGGGAGGGGGAAGTAAGTCAAGAATGGGCTTTTGTGAATAGGGACAGCTTTTGTTGCTGACCTTGGCTGGCTGGCACCTGGCAGGCAGCGTGGGCAGCAGGTAGCATGGGCAGCGCACGCACTGCAGGCAGCAGGCACAGCGGGTCTGCAGGGGCAGCGCGTGCAGCGAGGGCAGCGCAGCAGTGCCCACATCTGGCTGGCTGAGCTGCCCCAGGCTTGAGCTACCCCGGGCTCCACCGGCTTGGTGGGACCCCCCACTGTCCCACAGGCAAGGGCCCACAGAAGGGCTCATGGGTGGGCAGGGGGGCAAGGGCACAGCAAGGCAATGCCTAGAAATGCCATGCCACGCTTGTGCTCCTGACTGGTGTGAAACGCCTGTTGCTTGGCATTTATTTCACTGCCTGGTGAGCTGTTCTGGGCTGCCCTTTGGAGTTTCAGCTCCCACCCATGTCCTGGGCATCTGACACCAAATCCTGCCCCGAGCTCTGCTAGGTGCCAGGGCATCCTGCTCCCTGACACAGACCTCAGCTTCTGGGCCATGCAAGGTCTGTCCAGGGTGCTTTGGAGGCCGTACTCAGAGTAATGTACACATTTGCCCACTCTCAGCATTTATCAGTCCCAGCTTGGTGTCCAGGTCTGGCCAGGTGTCTTTGCAGGGAAGAACAGGGACAGGTTTGGTTCCCTTGCTCCCTGCCAGCTTGGGGACCTCCCTGCCCGCAGCAGCTGCCCCCATGCCCACCAGGGACTCCTCCCGCTTGCTTTCACACTCCCTCCTGAGCTTTGCACCTCTCCCACTCAAGGCAGCTGCAGATCCTGCATCCTGTGCTTGCTGTGCGTCTTTAAATGCTGGTGGAGAGCTTTCTCCAGGTGCTGCTGGTTTTGGGTCCTGCAATCTCTGTTCCCTCTTTCTCTTCCCCTCAGTCCTTGGCTGGATATGTTTTAATTTTTCATATGCTGTCTCTGCCTCCAAATATACCTTTTCAAACTCAGAATTGGATCCCTCGTGTTTCTCAGCAACCTCCTGCAGGTAAGAAGGCACCATCCCCTCCCCACAGGCTTTTCTAGCACTAACCCTGCTACCCAAACACCCCACCACCCTGCTGACTCTGAGGGAGCATTTCCAGCTCCTTATGTCCGCATGCTCTTGCTGCTTGCAGTTTGCAGTGGGCCACACTCGGTGCTGGCTACACAGACCCTTTGATGACCAGGGCAACAGAAGCAAATCTGCCCCGGCAGCGGCTGCAGTGGGCGAGGTGCTGGTGCGGGGCTCCTGGGACGCAGCCTGCTTGGTGCAGCAGTGCCGGGGCTGCCACCTCCCTCCTTTTCTAAGCGTCTCTGTTTCCCTTTCAGCTTGACATCCACAATGACCCCCCCTTACTCCTGCAGTCGTGCTTTGATCACCGCGAGCAAGCGGCTGCCCAGGCAGAGGCTGAGCACCGAAGGAACAGCAGTCGGCTGGAGAGAGCAGGGCGGCTCAAGGTCACGGGGAGCTGCCTTGGCCAACAGCCTGCAGAGTAGAGGGGGGCACCTCCTCACCACCTTAGTAGCAGCGATGATTTTAAAGGAAAACTGTCCACCACACTGCAGTAGTGCACACAAGCACACGATGCCCCAGGCTCTCAGTAGCTCCTGAACCACCCAAGGCTGATGGCCCATGCAGAACCTGCCAGAGAAGGGTGCAGAGAGGAGTTAGATCGCCCTGCAGCCTGGCACACGCTGACTATCATCTGTATCTGCTCACGCTGTTTTGGATCACTCAGTGTGTGTCTTCATTGCAGTGGGTCTGCAAAATAGTGGTGTCTGCCTGGAGAGAGGAAGGGAAAGGTTTTTTCTCACCACTGCTAAATGGGCAAACTCTTGGGTTCAAGCCCTGGCTTTCATCACCACCACCAGCTCCATTCATCACTGCAAGCTACTGAAAGTCAGCTCCAGGCAGCAACTCAGCAGTCCAAGGAGAAAAGACAACAATCCCCCAGGACGTGGGACTCTCCCCGCCGCACTCAGGCAGCAGAGGGAGGGATGCTGCTCCGAGCATCCTTACTCCCGGGGTTTAGCTTACCTTCAAGGTTACTTCCAGGAAACAGAAGTCCAGGTTTGCTCTGCTGGATTTTTGCAATCAGTCAAGCCAACCAGCACTGAAATACTGTCGTATTTAAAATTATACAGAAAAATCTATGCATCTGGCCATGCTACTGAATTTCCACTCCCTTCAGTGCTGCTGGTTGGGGGGACCCAGACATCAGTGCAGCTGTGAAGCCAAAGGGAAGAATTAAAAAGCCTGTCTGGCTGCAGCCATGCACTCCTTTGCCATGCGGGCTGCCTGCAAGCAGCCCAGGAGATACCAGCAGATTATTTACAGTGGCCATTACCTGCAGCTTCCAGCATCTACTGGCTATACAAACTCCTGAAGGAAATTAAGGAAACTAATTTTTCTTCAATAAAAATATTAAGCACTTTAATTAATGAAGGATAAAGAAAGAAGATTTTAGGCTAGGCAATTTGCAGGCAGCACGCACAGCAGCAAGGCTGCAGCTGGCCTCAGCAGCGTGCTGCGGTGGAGCAGCAGCTTGTCTCAGCCTGTGTCTGCAAGCAGGGCACAGTAAGTAACCCAGAGTGATCCACAAAATCCCCACAGGCTCCCGCGTGGAGCAAGACCTTCTGTAGCCCTCATAAGCTCCAAGCAGATCAGACAGAGGATTTTTCCTATGCAGCACCAGGTTTTGGGGTTGGGATGCACGCAGCAGCACGGCAGTCAGACGGTGTCACGTGCACTATGGGCAGCATTTGCAAATGGAAGTTCTGCCATGCTGGAGGAGGTGGGGAAGGGCAATGGAAAGCAGCAGTTTCATGTGCTTTGGGGGAACAGCAAAGCCAGGTGAGCACTGCATAGAGTGTTTGTCACGTTCGAGACAACTGTGAAAAGGGATTAGCAGGAGTGAAGTGTGAAGCCACAAACCCCATGGAGGAGCGAAAAATAATGATAAAGGATATAGAATGGTTAGGAATGAGAATAAGAAACATCACTTGGAAACGACAGCAAACTTCTGAAACATCCCTATTCAGTGGGCCAAGGTCATAAGAAAGCACTAGGTAGCAGGTAATGGGCAGCAAGCTGAAAATGAGCTTGCGCTCTGATATGGAGGGAACGATTCTACCTACCCCCGGCAGGTGCATCATGTCGGAGAGAACTGAGAGGCCAGTACCATCAGGAAGAGATTTGTATGATGAATTCTCGTAAAATAACCAAAATAACTATTGCTCCTCTGGGCTTTTAGCCAAGTACAGAGTCCTTGCCTGGACAGCAGCTCAGGAGTCTCACTTGGTTCAATGTGTGTTTGAAAAGTCCTCAGGAAGCCAGGAGCAGCCAGAGCAGTCCAATAACACCAGCCTTTGCAAACACCCCAGGCAGCAAGGTCTCTGCCACAGGGCGGTCACAGGGACCACTTTTTGCTAGGACACTTACTGGCAGTGTGCTTTGTGCCAACAGCTTCTCAGCATAACAGGACAGAGAGCACACACAAAGGAGTCGCTTTTAAAATAGTAAAAATAAGTTGCCTCCGTCCTTCTTTCTCCCCTATTCCTGAAATGAAAGAGCCTTTTATTCCCTCCTGTTTCTAGGAGAGACTAAAGTTTAAGTCTTAGCAACTCGACGGAGGAAAGGAGGGAGCAGCCCTGAGCAGAGCCCTCTTACAGCTCCCGGAGGAGGGCTGGGCTGTGGTATACCCGCCCAGCTGAAGGGCAGCAAGGGAAACGTGTTTTTCTTCCTGCTTTCTTCTCTGCACTCAAATACTGAGGGCAGGTAAGAACCCGGGCAGTGCTGGAGAAGGGAAAAGGACCAGTGGACACAGAGACAGGCTTTAAGGATGGAAGATCGCCAGATGTTATCTCAAGAAATACCTACAAGAGGACCAGGATAAAGAAAAGTTACAGAGGGCACAGATGGGAGCCAACGGCTCCATTTCCTGGCTGCTGCCCTCCCCGTTTTTGCAGGGGTGGGCTGTTTGCCCTGCTGCCCTTGCAGCGGCCAAGCTCCCGGTGCTGGAGCTGGGGTTCGTCCTGTGATGGCCGTGGCTCCGACCAGCATGGCGGATGAAATGCAGGCAGCTGGGCGGAGGAGAGGGATGACCTTCCCTTGCGAGGGGGAGGAGGCAGCAGCTCCCTGCCTGCGCGGCGAGCGAGAGGCACCTCGCCACTGCCGCTTTCTCTTCCCATCAGCGCCCTCCCACTCAGCCCCGTATGGCAGCCCAGGCGCCATGGCCGAGCCGGCTGCTGTGGCCAGCCTGGAGGAGGACCTGACCTGTCCTGTCTGCCTGGGCATTTACAGCAACCCCGTGTCCCTGAGCTGTGGCCACAGCTTCTGCAAGGAGTGCATCCAGGAGGTGCGCAGCCGCCGGCGTTGCCTGCGGGGCCCTTTCAGCTGCCCGCTGTGCTACGCCCAGGCAGACCCCGCTATGGAGCTGCAGCCCAACGTCCAGCTCCGCAGCATAGTGCAGAAGTTTTTGGATGCTCCCGCCCACCAAGAGGAGGAAAAGCACGAAGTGCAATGTGAAGAGAAGGAGGAAGGTTCAGGCCAGCAAGACGAGGTGATCCTGTGTGATTTCTGCCTTCAGGAGCCCCAGCCAGCCATGAAGACCTGCCTGAGCTGCGAGGCCTCCCTGTGCCAAGCCCACCTGACCAAGCACAGCATGAAGAGCCCCATGAGAGACCATGTCCTGCTGGAGCCCTGTAGTGCGCAGTTGTTGGCTGAGAGGAGGTGCCCCCAGCACGGCAAACTGCTGGAGTGCTTCTGCAAGACAGACTCGCTCTGCATCTGCATGCTGTGCTGTGTCACCAGCTCCCACAAGAACCACAAGGTCACCAGTTTGGAGGAGGCTTTTGGCCAAGCGCAGGTAAGAGGCTGCCAGGACAATAGCCTGGGCACGGATTGCACTAGGAAAACCATGAGGGTCTGTGGCATGGAGAGCTGCCCGCAGCACAGGGATGAAACACCTCCTGACTTTCAGATCTGCAGACTCAGCATGGGGCTACATCTCCATCTTGGGATATTGGGCTTTTATTCCTAGTTCTGTCTCAGATTCCCTCAGGGCTTGCCCTCAGGATATAGAACAAGATGTTACAAACATCTTCCCACCCCGAGGAGCCAAACTGGTGGGACCAAGTGCTGTGGCTATGCTTTTAGTCCTCGGTTCACTTTCAAGCTGTGAGATCAGCTTGAGCTGCGTTTATGCAATGAAAATGAATGTCAGAGTAATAGAAAGGAAGCTGTCAGCACTAAAAGTAGTTTTGTGTGTGGCTGTTGCACACTAACAGTTTTCAGTTTCAAAATGTCTTTCCCATGGTCATAACTGTGGTATTTGTTCAGGAATAAAATCCTCCAGTAAACCTTTATGTATTGATTTATCCCGAGAGCATGCAGTAAACAAACTTTTTGCAGGTGTACCTTAACCCATGTCCATAAAATTGCTGATCTTGTGCACATGCATCAGTTCTATCCTGTTATCTCCCTGCCGTTATTTTTATAGAGTGTTCTTCCTGAAACTCTGAAAAAAGTGAAAACATACGAAGCTGCGCTGAATGAAAGCATAGCAAACCTGCTGAGACAAGAGGAGGAAGTAAAGGTTTGTTCCAAGATCCCATAGTACTTCAGGAATGGTTGCATGCTGGTAGCTGATGAGATTAAGTTTTCTTTTGCCCTTCCCCATATCAAGTATTCCAAAGCTTTTTTAGTTTCTGTGTGGTTTCTCAGATATTTTCTAGGTTTCTTCTTTGAGGGAGGATGATGAACAATTTTCTTATCAGTCTGGGAAGTACATTCTTGGTTTCCAAAGGACATTTGAGCTTGAAAGTTGCTATATAAGTCCATGCCTCCTGATTGGTGAGGCATGGTTGGCTTTTTTTCCCCCAACCTTATTAAATTTGCAGACTCTAAAATATTTGTGGAAAAGATACAGACCATATTATAGTGATTTTATTCCTCTTTACAACAAGAAATCTGTTTAGGTTAGCCTGTGGTTCTAAGAAGTTGCTAGGAATGAGGTTAAAAGATTGCCTCAAAGTGTCTGGTTTTTGTTCCCAGCACGCAAATACCTATTTAAAAGCTCTGAAAGAGCAGGGAATATAGCGCAGGTCTCCAAAGCCTAGTTCACTCTGCGTATGCAGAAATGGCACTTGCCTGCCTCCACCAGTAAAAATGATGGGACTAGAGGTCCTGGCACTGGGCAAAGGAGATGTTCCCTTCGAGTCTGAAGACAAAACTGTACCTGTTGGCAGTGTCCTGTCTGGCAGTGTAGCTGCTTTCAGACAGTGAAGGAAGCTTGGTGGAGGCAGAAAGCAGAGAAACTGTTTTTCCTCACCTTAAAAGGACCAAAGACAATGTATCCATAGAAAAATACCAGTGCAGAAGAAGGAAATGCACACATAGTGGAAAGTCTTCAGCAAGCATGGTGCAAGAAGCACTACTTTTTCAGCTTTCTCTTGTCAGGTGCCAGATGCGAGGAAGGCCACTTATGTCACTTGTCCTTTCTGCTGTCAGTGGGACATCTTGGTTTGTCGTCACAGGGAGAGGCACTAAGTTGGTGGTTACTTCTCTCAGCCCAGAAAAGACCAGGCTCTTTTCTGAGTGGGAGTTAGCGTGGAACACGTAAGATTCGGTCCCTAACAGCTTTGAAAGTGTTTTCTTAATAGACTAAAGAGAGCCTGAGGAGGAAGCGGCTGGAAAGCCTCTTCGAAGAGATGCGTCTGAAGCTAGAGAACGAAAAAGAAGAGGTCCTGAAAGCTCTCAGTCACAACGAGGAGCAACAGCTTTCTCAGATTCAGACACAGATACAAAAACACAAAGAGGTGAAGGATTCAGCCAGCCGTGATGTACAGGAACTAGAGGTTCTGAGAGATCAGAAAGACTTACTTCTTTTCACCAAGGTACATAACGGTATCTCCCTTCCCAAAGATACTCAGCTCTTGGGCTGGCCTTTGCCTGCGCTATGCTAATTCTACTTTCAAAATGTTTTTTACAGGCTTTTGCAGAGATTCAAGCCAGGTAAGCTCTTCCCAAGGTGGTCTACGATTGCATTTTGTGTTGCTTCAGGTAACTGATAGTCCAGCGGCGCGGGTCTGCCTGCCCAGCCTGCGCGCGC